TGGTCTCTTGGTGTGTGAAGTGGTTACATGTGAATTTTTTATTTTGAGGTGTAGAGTTGTGGCAAATGTGAGAATAGGGTTTCCAAAAACTCAGTACACACAAGCAGATAAAACGTTGTAACAGCCCCAGGTTGACACAAGCCTAGAACACTGTCACTGCAACACAGAGGAGTAAGATCAGTAAGATCAGTAGAGAACTCAACCTACTGGGCAGGTGCCAACCCTGTTTACATGTGTGTGTTATTAAGGGGAAATGTTGCTATAAATGTTTTTGTTTACGACAGAAATTATTTTGATAAATGACCAAAATACTCAGAGGGAGGAACCATATCAAAACACAGATAAGATACAAAGGAACTCTTTAAAAAAAGTGTGATATGACTCAAACCTTTTATAAATAAAACACTGCATTGAAGACAGATTATAGGATTAGTAGTAATGAAACTAAGATGAATATAAGAGAAGATAATTAAAGAATCATAGACATGTGATCTAACTGATAAAAAAAGTTTATAAAAGATGTAATAACAGTAACTCACTGAAAAACAAAATATTTAGGAGACAAATCTCTACTGATATATAACAATCCAGCAATAAGGTTAAAATAAGCATATTCTTAAAACTACAATACAAGAGAGCAGAGAAACAAGAGAAATATTGATGAATGAAAGAAGGCAAAGCATCAGCTGGGTTACAAGGAGAAGCTGGCCTAATCTTTTTTATTGGCAAGCCCAAACCTTGACTCTATCAGGCCTCCTTAATAACACACTTTGGTGCGGATGCTGTTACTGAGCGAACAGAACCAAAAAGGTAATATTTTTAGTACTAAGAATGTGAATCAATATTTTATTTACTAACATTAGCACAAGAGAGGAATTTGACTTCCATTTTCCACCCTTGATATCATGTCAACATCAGTTAGAAATTTAGAACAATTTAAAACAAATAAGATAAAGGATGAAAAAGAAGAGTGTCTATGTGTACAATGTGTGTACATACATGTGCAGTAGTTCATAAACTTTTCTGTGTGTGGGATTGCTGCAGAATTAAGTACACAATGCACGCCATCGTCTGCTTTTGCTACATGCTCATTCAGGAGGAATGGATCCTGCAAATTCAATGACTTAATGCAATTTAAAAAACTTGAGATGACATATGTTTACATTGTCATTAAATACGCTGAATGGATTTGATTTGAATGGTATCAGCTGGTAACCTGACTCCGCCAGATGGATTTGCTCCGCATATCCATCTGGAAACCTTCCGTTGAAGTAATTTTGGGAAGGGGCAAAAATACTGGTTAGCTGATTGGCCTATATTGGTGATAGACGGGCCAAATAAACCAATCAGATCAACGAAGCATATGACGTACTAACAGAGCGACGACGAAAACACAACCACAAGCAGAGATGGGAATTAACGAAGTACAAATACTTCGTTACTGTACTCAAGTAGATTTTTCTGATATTTTTACTTTACTTTACTACTTATTTTTATGGCGACTTTTTACTTCTACTCCTTACATTTTTACACAAATATCTGTACTTTCTACTCCTTACATTTTAAAAAATTGGCTCGTTACTTTAGTTTTGAATAATTTCAATGGAGTTACCGTTATTATTTTTCACGTCATCAATACCAAGTTCAATCTAATTGGATGGGAATCTACGTTGCATTTGACGCACCACTACAAGATGAATCGACAGATTCGGTGGTATTCATTCGCAGCAAATCATTGCAGCTTGGTGGCGGTGGCGTTAGCATAGTAGCATGGACGACGAGATGATTGAAAATGAACACAACGTAGATCTAGTCCTATTGGCAGACATCTATTTAAAATATAGGCAACGGCAGGAAAAAAGTGGTTTCTACTTTTACTTTTATACTTTAAGTAAATTTACAAGCCTGTACTTTGTTACTTTTACTTGAGTAAAGAAGTTTAATCAGTACTTCCACTTTTACCAGAGTATTTTTTAACACAAGTATCTGTACTTTTACTCAAGTACGGAAAGTGAGTACTTTTGCCATCTCTGACCACAAGCCAGGCACAAGCCAATTGATAGATCAAACTCTTGCCGAAACCAGTCGGGAGAAGAGCAAAAACATCTTTTTCTCTGAGAAAAGCCTCCAGAGCAGTGTTTTGTTCTTCTTTCAGTGAAGAAATACTCTGTAATTCCGATAAAACTTGCTCGATAACCACGCTAACTCTAGTTTCATTGGCTGAAGCCGCCATGTTCTTTAGACTGAACCGTCGCGCTTCTCGTTGCGTCACACCTCAACCCGCCTCAAAGCCAACGCTGATTGGACGTTCGTTTGGTGAACAGCTCCAAATTTTCTTTAACGGAGAGTCTCCAGACTGATCTGCGAGTGAAACCTTGAAAGCTCGCTAGATCAGGATGGTCTCACGAGGCCAATCAGCTGGGTTTCCTTTGAAGATTATTCCTTTGGCCCCTGCTATGGCCCCTCTGCTGAAGACATAATACCCAATCAGTTTTATGTTTGATGACATGAGTTGGCATAGAGACTGTAACTAATTGGTCCCTTGGACACATTTAAATGATTTAAATTTCTTAAAAATATATTATAATTAAAAATAAAAGTGTCTTTAGCTTCAGATTTATTAAATAAAGGATGACAGTTTTCATCTACTAGATTAGGCTCTCTAGAGGCATGACATTTTTGGCTTTCTTTATATATCAAATGATGATCAATACCCTGTTTAGTTTTATTCTTTTTCTCTGTGCCCCCATGAAAAAACAAGTGCCCAAACAGCCCCCCTGGTAAAATTTGTCTAGAACCACCACTGTCTTAGACTTGGAGGAGAAAGAGGTTTCAGAGCTTCCTGTCATTGAGCAAAAACTAATTTCATCCCACATCAGTGACAGAAGTTATTTCTTCTTCACATGTGCATAGAGATCCTCCGGACGGACAGTAGACACCTGGACCTGATCGTATTGTGTTGTTTGATGTCCATCGTCCTGCACTGAGACAGAGGAAGATTCAGACTGCCTCTGGGAGAAAGTTATGTTCCCATAATGATGTTCTTCTTCTGTTTCACTGGCTGGCATTTGACCAGAAACCTCTTGATATCTTTGACTCTGTGAGAAAATTAAAATGTTCTTGTTCAGCAAGCTCCTTGTTTATTAAATACTGTTTAATATAAACTGATTAGCCAGTCACTTCATTTGGATGGGATTAAACTGATTTCAGATAATAAAGTAAAAAATCTTGGTGTTATTTTTGATCAGGACCTGTCATTTAAATCCCATATCAAAGAGGTTTCTAGAATTTCCTTCTTTCATCTGAGGAACATTGCAAAAATTAGAAATATCCTGTCCAGGGGTGATGCTGAGAAACTAGTCCATGCATTTGTTACTTCAAGGCTGGACTATTGTAATTCTTTACTATCAGGAAGTCCACAAACTGTAGTTAAAAGCCTTCAGCTGATCCAAAATGCTGCAGCCAGAGTTCTAATGAAAATGAAAAAGAGAGATCATATCTCTCCTATCCTGGCTTCTCTTCATTGGCTTCCTGTTAAATCAAGAATAGAATTTAAAATCCTCCTTCTCACATATAAAGCCTTAAATGGCCAAGCTCCATCTTATATCAGAGATCTGATTGTTCCTTATGTTCCTAACAGTGCACTTCGCTCTCAATCTGCAGGTTTACTAGTGGTTCCTAGAATTTCTAAAAGTAGAATGGGAGGCAGATCTTTTAGTTATCAGGCTCCTCTCCTTTGGAACCAACTACCAGTTTTAGTCCGTGAGGCAGACACCCTGTCTACTTTTAAGGCTAGGCTTAAAACTTTCATTTTTGATAAAGCTTATAGTTAGGGTGGCTCAGGTTATCCTGAGCTATCTCTATAGTTATGCTGCTATAGGCTTAGACTTTTGGAGGACATAGGGACCCCCATTTCATCGTTCTGCTTCATTCTTTCTCTGTTCTCCTATTCTGCAGAATCTGTTAGTTCAATCTCTAACCTTCTGCTCTCTCTGCTTTTCCTCAGAGTAGCTTTGCCTCGTCTGTTCCTGTTTGGCTGTGACGTCATCCTGGAAAAAAACATCAGCTGTGCTGCTTCTATCAACACCCTTGTTAATAGATGTTGGAGATCGGCCTGTTTTCCAGTGTGGTCCTGTTTCTCTGACCGTGACTGAGTGGATGTGCTCTCTTCGTCCTCTGGCATGGGAGCTGCCTTGGAGCTCGTCTGCCTGGCTGTGTGTTTCCTGGACGGGGCCGCCTTTTACAGCTGCTTTTTGTATCTCTGCTTCTGTCTCCTTGAACCCCAGTCGGCCTCGGCAGATGGCCGCTCACACTGAGCCTGGTTCTGCTGGAGTTTTCTTCCTGTTAAAAGGGAGTTTTTCCTCTCCACTGTCGCTACAAGCATGCTTAGTGTGGGGGATTGTATTTGAGTCAATGAGTCAATGCAATCAACTGGTTTTCCTTAGATAGAAAACTTTGTATCAATTTGACTGTATGATCTGGTTGAACTGTAAAGTGCCTTGAGATGACATGTGTTGTGAATTTGGCGCTATATAAATAAACTGAATTGAATTGAATTGTTTCAGTCTGAAGGGGAAAACCTATTTCAGTGATTCTAACAGAACATTTCCTTACCTGAGTCTGATGTGGAGTTGAACATTTGGTCTTAAGGCACCTGGAAGACCGGTGAGAAAACAGACATGAGAGGATTAACATCAAAACAACCAGAGCCAGGTGCAGCTGAACACAAATACAAATAACTATTTTAGATGTTCATCTGAAGGTTTAAATAAAACCTCACAATGATTGAGTAAATTTAGTTTGTTATTTTAATGCCTGACACTTACCAGACAGAAAGAACCAGACATACAAATAAAGTGACTCCCACTACAATTGTGACCAAGAAAGGAGATATCTTTTCTAAATCTGTGTGTGTAAAAATGAAAACAAAGATGAAGAACACGTACCGGTAAATCTATTACATATATATTTTTTAAAGTAATTAGGCTGATTCCGGTTACCTTTCAAATTGAGTAGGATAAGTGATGATCTCTGTTTCCCAAGATCATTTGTAGCCTCACAGTAATACTCTCCTCCCTCAGTGACTCTGAGGCTGTAAAATTCCCCTGTAGCTACTATTCTGGCTCCATGTTTGCTGTTCCAGAACCAGGTGAAGCTGGCAGGAGGCTTGGCTCTGCTGGAGCAGTTCAGCTCCACCCAGCTGCCTGCTGACAACAAACCTGATGGACTGATGGATGCTGAGGTGTCTTTAGGAGCATCTGAGGAAAATGGGACACACATTAACTTCATTGATCAGAAACAGCTGAACCATGACGTGCTGACAGGATCACTAACATGAAACACTGAGAGTCACTTCTGTCTCTGCTGTCTTGCTTCCTCCATTCACAGGATATCTGGCAGAACAGTTGATGTTGTATCCATCATGTGTGTCTGACAGAGTGATGGTCTCCTGGATTTTAGTTGTAAAGGTTCCATCTTTGTTTTTCTCTGTTTGTCTGTCAGAGTCTTGTTGGAGATTCCAGGTGAGTTCAGGAGGTGAGTGTGGACAGGGAGTCACAGCTGAGCAGCTTATAGTGACAGACTGATGCTCCTTCACTGAAAAAAAAATAGAGGTTGACAGAACTTAAATTTTCTAGGCAACGTGATGCATTTGGTTTTTTGAGTTTTCCTTACTTAAATTCACTGTGGTTGAGTTTACAAAGATTTTTGAGTTCTGCCAACTTAGGTTTTTGGAGTGTTACCCGGTACATAGAAATTTTGAGTTCTACCAACTTAGGTTTTTGAGTTTCACCTTTAAGTTCTGAGTTCTATCAACTTTGTTTTATGAGTTTGACATATAGATTTTGAGTTCTACAAACTCAGATTTTGTAGTGTTATCTGCAAGTTGAGTTCTATCAACTCAGTTTTTTTAGTCCAACCAATCGTCTTCACTACCAATCATTCAACACACAAAAAATTATGTTAATACAACATTTTTATTGCTTCAAGTCAAACATTGTATCAATAGATACAGTATAAAACCATGTTCAACAACATAATCTTAACTGCACAGATCAAAGTAACCTGACACTGGACCAGAATGTTCTAGATTCGTAAGAGGGAGTGATGATGAGGGAAAAAACAGTAAGACACCGATTTAGTAAGAGGAAAACACACAGGTAATTTTTTGTGAAGTAAGTGTATTAACATATATGAAAAAATAACAGTTTTACAAATTTGGACGGCCTTCAGTTTGTTTTTTTCAATTGTAGTCTCTTTAAATTGGGTGCACCCTTTAAAAAAAATAAAATGAAATAAAATGTCTTGTTTCCCAACGGTAAAAGAAAAAGGTTTTCCCTTTTTATCTCTGAGTTTTTCTTTTTAGTCCTACCACTCCGACAGGACGATGAATGCAAGAAAAGAAAGTCCTCTTCAGTCCAAATCCTTCTCTTCAGTCCAAATCCAGATGTTCACACGGTTGGCTCGCCATCTCCATTTAAGGAGAGAATCCAGAATCCAGGGTATCCAAAAAACCCAGCCTGCATAGCACAACAGGGCTTAGTTAAATCCATTCACTTCTTGTTCTTAACTGTATAGTTTATATCTCTCCAATTATGATAAATTTCAGTGTGTAATGTAACTTTTCTAACTCATTACGAATTAACTGCTGCATTACAGGGTTAACATATAAAATGTTAATGTCACTGTTTTTCTTGTAAAGCAAATAAAATCATGAAAGCAAAAAATCCACATGTAAATAATTATAAAACCACTTACAGTTAAACAGTAAATACCCACATCGGATTAAGAAAGTAAAATAATGTAGTCTTGTAATATTCTATACTTTGCAGCACTCACCGGGAAAAGAAAAGATTCAGAAAACTGGTAAGGTCCCAGGGTCGTTCCTCCGTGGTTCTCCAGATGCATAAAAGCACAATGTCCGCCAATCTTCTCAAACCCGAGGGAAAAAGGCTGTGCACTTGAAGAAAGGGATAGGAAACCCCGTACCGTAGTGGGCGTGTCCATGAACATAAGCAGTGTGCATGCCCATGAGTTTACAGTTGAGGGAACTCAAAAAATCTTGTATAGGCGATTTAAAACTCCTTGTTAAACCGACTTCTGAGAATTTGAGTTGGGCAAACGTGTATTTATTTGTTAGATGTCAAATTTATATTTCTGAGTCGGATTACAATACAATTGTGTGTTAGAACAACAATTGCCATTTACTTTTTTAACAGTGTTCAGATCACCAACAGAGATATTAATGCTGGGACTCCAAGGAGAATCTGGAAGTTTAGATCATAAAAACCTATTACCAATACGAACAGATTATTAAGAAAAGACAAGGCTCTTTTAATTTTAAACCAACTTTGTTTCCAGACATAGATCCCAAAAGTGCTTTCCAGCTAAAAGAAAAGGTGTGGGAGCATAAGCTCCAAAGAACCAATACACAATAGCTTCCCCCAATAAAACTCCTGCTCTCATTCATGTCACATTTTTCATAAAAAACTATTTTTATGAAAGTCTGGTGATAAAGACGCACTGAGAACATCGCTTGCCAAGTTAAACCGGGTCATCCGATCGGCGAGGCAGAACCACAGCTAGAATATCCAGGATCTTTTCCACGATGACAGCAACACCAGGAGGATGTGGAAAGGCGTTCTGATGATCACAGGCTACAACACACCCTCCCCCCCATTAGATGCAGCACACACTGACTTCCTAAATAAACTGAACAACTTCTATAGAAGGTGTGAGACACTAAACAACACTCCAGCAGAGAAAGCCGTTCCACACCAGGGGGAGGAGACACTAAACCTGGACGTAGCTGAACTGAGGAAAACTGAGGAGAGTCAACCCAAGGAAGGCCCCAGGGCCTGATAATATACCTGGGTGGGTGTATAAGGAGTGTGCAGATCAGCTAGAAGGTGTCCTCACAGACATTTTTAACACCTTGCTGGACCAATCCGTAGTGCCAGCATGCTTCAAGTCTGCCACCATCATTCCAGTCCAAAAGAAGCCTCAGGTTACCTAATGCAATGATTATCAGCCTGTCGCACTGACTCCTATCATGATGAAGTGCTTTGAAAGGCTGGTTAAAGAACACATCGTCTCTAGTTTGCTGCCATCATTCGACCTGTTCCATTTCGCCTACCGACACAACCACTCCACTGAGGTCTCTGCTGCTCTCCACCAGAGCCTGGCACACCTGGAGGAGAAGATCACCCACGTGCAGATGCTATTCCTGGACTTCAGTTCAGCTTTCAACACCATCATCCCACAGCATCTGATGGGCAAACTGGAACAGCTGGGATTCAATACACCCCTCCGCAATTGGCTGCTAGACTTCCTCACCAACAGACCTCAGTCAGTCCAGGTGAACTGGTGCAAAAAGCCTGATCCTGAACGTGGAGAAGACGAAAAAGATAATTTTGGACTTCAGAAAGAAACCGGTCTAACTAGGGTCCACTGGTCAGTTGTAGAGGTGGTCAGCAGCACCAAATTCCTGGGGGTGCACGCACTCAACTTTACTATAAACACCACCTCACTGGTCAAAAGGGCACAAAAGTGCTTATACTTCCTGCAGAGGATGAGGAGAGCCCACCTGCCTCCACCCATCCTCACCACCTTCTACAGAAGCCCCATATAGAGCGTTCTGACCAGCTGTCTCACTGTGTGGTGTGGAGGCTGCAGCGCCTCAGACTGGAAGAAGGTGAGGAGAGTGTTGAGAACAGCAGAGAAGATCATTGGAGCTCCTCTTCCCTCCATAAAAGACATTTCATCCCAGCGCTGCATGTCCCAAGCCCGTAACATCATAAATGACCCATCACACCCCCACCATGGACTGTTCTCCCTGCTGCCCTCTGGAAGAGATTTCGACCATGGACTGTTCTCCCTGCTGCCCTCTGGAAGAGATTTCGAACCATCCGATGCAGGTCCAGAAGATTCATAACAGTTTCTTCCCCACCACCATTACACTGCTGAATGTTTTGTATAATAGGTTATTCGAATGTATTTTATTATATTTATCACATTTTATCATTTAAAAAAAAGTTAGAACTGTACATTTACAGTCATATGTTTATATTACTGTTTTATATATATATATATATATATATATATATATATATATATATATATATATATATATATATATTTATATATATATATATATATATATTTTTTTTTTTTAACTATTTTTCAAGGCTGCATGATGAAATTGTCCAGAGTTGTTCCAAATTAAATTTCTTTTTGTTTTACACTTGTGTAAACAAAATGACAAAAAAATCTGTCTAAGTCTAAGTCTAAAATGCTGAAGTGAAATTTTTGATCAAATGCCACCACCTTCCAAAACAAAAAGGTAAAAACAGAGTTAATTTTGCTGAACACTACTGTAACAAAACGCTAATACTGAAGCTCTCTTACCTTTAACTGTTATATTAAGAGGATCTTCACAGGCTGTTGCTTTAAACGGCTCGTTCTCAATCCTGAAGAAGTATCTGTCTGTATAACTGGTATTTACATCAGGAAACAGAGTGGTGCAGTTTTTCTCTTTCAGGTTTCCAGTAATAGTCAATGGATAGGTGTTAACTGACCCACTGCTGTGGAAAACAACAGGACTTGGATTGCCATTAATTTTTTGCTTCATCCAAACTCCATAGATAGTTTTGCTGCTGTCAAATAATTTATTTTCTGTATTAAAGCTGCATGGGATTTCCAAACAAGATCCACTCAGAGCTTTGATCTTTTTCGGTGTAGTGATTCTGATGCCTGATTTTGTATCACAACAATCAGCCAAAGTACCTGTAGAAACAGACAAATGATGAACATGATGTGGAGCAAAATCTGTCTGGAGAAACTTCATGATCGACAAACTCCAGTTCAGCTGCAGCTTGTAACATGTGGAGCCTTTATATAAGGTCAACATCTAATATTTCAGAATAGAAATGACTAATTTGATGTCTTTAAAAGAGGAAGTAAAAAATCAGCTCACCTGGAAGAAAGAAGACACTCAGTAACATGTTGACTGTCAGCATGTTTTCAGACAGAGCTGCCATCAGATTCAGACTCTAAAAAACAAACATTTAGCTCATTTATAACAGTAGGTCTAAAATTAGATATTTAGTTCATAGCAAAAAGCTTTACATTGACCGTAATTATTTACATATAGATGTCAAAGCATGTTGAAGTATTTGTTAAATAACCAGAGTCAGGAATGTAGACTTACCAGAAATGTTGCATTTAAAACAAAAACAGTTTAGTTTTCAAACCAGTTGATCTGTTCAGATCAGTTGATCAGCAGCAGAATAAACGGCAGCCTTCTCTGTTACTAGATGTGTTATTTAAAGGAGTCCCCATCCTCTTTGCTCTGTGAGGAGGAAGTCTATCTGATTGTTTGAAAAATAAGTCATCTCATGAAGTGCACTTTAACTCACAACTTAGAGCCATTTTCTAAGTATAACTGCTTCTTCCCCTTTTCTTAGCTTTATTTACCTATGATATCACAAAATATGAAAATACCAACCTAAAAACAGGCAGAGCTGTCATTTACACCTTAGAGCTGTTGGTCACTTTGAGCCTTGAAGTTTTTGTTTCTAGTTTCATACTCCAAAATATAATGCACTTCCACAGTACCCAGAATAAAACATTTAAAATGAAAATAAATTTAACGTTTATGAATAAATATTACTTTTTGATTTTATCGATGTTTGCAATATAATAAGATTTGTGTCAGGTATTGGGCATTTGGATAATCTGTTGCTCATTACCTGCAGGTGCACTCATCTCACAGGTGCAGCCAGGCTCGGACTGGTAATCTGTTATACCTAAATCCTACTTACTCTCTGGCTGAAGCACCTACTTGTGACAGTAAATAACTCAAGAAGCTCAAGAAGTAATACAATGATAACCACCTAAATGATGCATGCAGTATATATAGCCCTTCCTTGTCATGCACATCCTTGTGACGGTTGGTGTAAATTTCAATTTCTTCAACTGTGAAATCCTTGCAACAAATTAAAGTATAATAAAACTAAAGTGCTTACTTTAAACCATCTTATAATTTGGTGAATTCATGTTTGAATATTTTGCAAAAATACGTTGCGGTGCATGATGGGGTTTTGCATCTAAAGACTAATGTTGCACAGGGGAAAAATATTATTTATGTTTTTCTTTTATTTACATTTTCTTTTTGAGCTTTGCATTTTTGGAGGGGGAAATATGATTGTGTTTTCCTTCATTTAGACTTTTTTTTTTAAAGGACATCTGTGGGAATAAGGATGCTGCGGATGTTGCTTGGGTTATATTTGCATTCCAGTGGATGGGCTTCAGTGGGGGGTCCATAAGTGGACCGGTGTAGATGGAAAAACTCCAGGGCCGAAAATCGCTGACAGTCCAAATCTGGGTGCAGCACATCATCAGACATCATCAGACATAACAGGAACTGGTTTTAAGCAGGATGCATGGCGGATGTTAAACACTGACAAGGAAGTGCGGAGAGAAATTTGGTTTGATGGTCTTGCTGGGCTGCGACTTGCACAGATAGACACTAGATGGTGATAGAGAGGGCAACTGCCCTTTTCCACTCTGGACAAAAAAGTGCACTCCTGAAACCAAAATTCTAGGTTTTTGTAATTTATTTATTTTTTACCATGCATCAAGGAATGGTTTAAATACAACTCTTTGATTAAGTTAGAAAAAAAAATGATTTAAAGCTTCTCATAGATGTAATTATTGATTTTCAGTTTCACAGTAAATCTATCTATTTGACTCTTGTCTTTTTATGACATCTACACAACACGTTACCTTTTGGTTGTTATACATTTCATCTTTCAATATCTTGGTGCTGATGACTGGCCTAATTACTAATTTCATTCACCTGGTTAACTCTGCCCGGTTTCTCATTCCTGCTCATCTGATCCACCTGCTCCTGCCTCTATTTAAGCTGCCTGCTACCAGTCATCGGAGGCAGATTATTTTCTCGAGCCAGTGGGGAGGGTGTGTCCAGCACTTAGACTTAGTTTTTGATTTTCTGGTCTGCTGTCTTACCCACTGAGCCATTGGTTGAGAGGCAGAACAGGTCAGGATCAGGTTATCAGAACCACTAAAGTAACGCATGAATTAAGGTGAATAAAAGGAGTAATTAAGCCAGTCATTAACGCCCCGATCATAACAGAATATCCCCAAACATAAGGCCAAATTATCGCATTTCGTAAAATTACCATTAATAAACAATTTTTAACCTTAGAATAAGCTTATTACATATTATGTACTTGAAATAAGATAACAGAGGTAGGTTTTTTCATATTTTAAATGTAAATCTTAGTTCATCTGCAAATTGTCATATATACCCACTCATATAAACTAAAAGATATATTGGAATCCTGGAACCTTGGAAAACTGCCTGATGAACTTTTGAGCAAGACGCAAATTTATGGTAGATATTTATGACTGCAAGTAATAAGGCAATGGTGACCCAGGTCATCCACCCTGAGGCTCTTAGTTAATCATACAAACCCGATCCAGGGGATTGAGACATAGAAATTTCTCTATGTCTCCAGAAGAAGAGAGACTTTAGAACAAATGGGATAATCACACATTTAAAGACTCAGGATAGCAATTGCATGTAAACTAGAAGCAAATGTGTTGTACAGCATAATTTTTTCCGGGCACCTGCTCACTCAGACCAATAAGTTCATGTAAGTCACATTTCTTTCTTGAACTCATTATCTGAAGAATTCAGAGGAAAGTTGGCAGTAGGCTTTAGCTAGTTTATGGCTGGATCAGGATGGCAGATCAGGTTGTAGAGGAAAAAGAAAGATAGATAGATAGATAGATAGATAGATAGATAGATAGATAGATAGATAGATAGATAGATAGATAGATAGATAGATAGATAGATAGATAGATAGATAGATAGATAGATAGATACTTACCCACTATCTATCTAAAGGTATGTTAGATATATAAGGCCCTTTCCAGCCCATACTCCATTCTGGTAAGTGGCGGTATTGCATCTAAAAGTTGTTTATCATCTGCCAAAAAATGGATGCTGTCTTATTCAATCGACTCATGTGTTTTGATCTCAAAGCTTCTTTGAAGGTGTATGCAGTTCTTTTTTCTAGAGAATGTACCGCATGTAATGCGATATTGAGCTAGGGTGTTGGGTTTCTTCTTACATCAGACCGAGGTCCAGTGGAAGTGGAAGATAAAGGGGGTCCTGGTTGTTTTAGAGGTGACCAGGGGGTGCGGTTCAGGATGTGATGTTAGAGGGATGGACTGTATCAAACACAGCTGTAACCCAATCTCTAACATGGTGGCTGTAATTCCGATCTGTAACATATCTCCCCTTTAGCTCTGAAGAGTAGAATGCTGGTCAGTCTTAAAAGCTACAACCAAGTTCATTGTGACCTGGTGCTAAGGACCCTTGGCTGGTCCTTAGCTGGTCTCCAAAAATTCCTTTTTAAACATCAATATTTGCATTAAAATATTATTTTTATCATGATTTGTGGACATTAAGATATAAATATAATTGTAATGACCTGGCCAAACCCTGTAATTCAGTGAAAGGGTGGAGTCAGAGTAAAAAAAATATGCAAGAGGGGTCACTCCAGTGGCTGGAAATTGGAGGGTATTTCCCTGGGAGTTGGAGGGAAGTGGGCTGCCATTTAGCTGGCGTTTGACTTGGAAGGGCCATTTTGAATGGCTGCTACTGTAGTTAGGCAGTTTTTCATTGATTATTATTATTCATAATATTAATCATAAGTCAATCATTAATCATAATATATAGATATTATTTTACATTATTTTACATACAGACCTAGAGATGAATTAACTGCTCATATTTTTTTCTCTCTGTGGGAGGGATGGCCTGGTGATTAGAGCATAGCTAATATGCAGTGTTGGGCAAGCTACTTGTCCAGTGTAGTGAGCTACTGTAAGCTATCAGTTACTCAACAATAAATTAAGCTTCACTACACAAAAGCTACCACCTAAAGAATTATAGCAAGCTAAGTTACACTAATGTGTTAACAGTAGCTTAACTACATCAGAAGCTACTTAACGTTGTACCAACCTAATGTCAATTTAAAATGAGTCTGATGCACTGGTTAAAATATTTATTAAAGATCAGCCAATGACATAACACAGTGTAAACATTGCTTTATGATCAGCATATTAAAATAAAAACTAAAGTAATTACTAGTAGACAAACTAGTAAACAATCTGCTGTTATTAGAACCAAATTAAAGGTACTGTGTATTGTTCTACACATGGAGACATGGCTATGAGTTTGCATTCAATGGACATCTCTAGGGAAAACAAAACCCTACAAAAGACCTCAATTAAACAGTTGATTCAAGTAACAAACAAAACTGTTTACAAAAGAAGGTGAAAAAATAAAGAAGCTAATTAAGAGATGCATATATATATGTCTCACCATATAATTTAATTTCTACCTACATATTTATTCATTGTACTTTTGGAGGCAATTAATTGAATGCTTATTTATTTATTTATTGAGCATTTATTTATTTATGTATTTATTTTATATACGGTAGAGCTGTTCCTCCATAAAAAAATCTTATCTGTGCAAATAAGCCTAAAAACAGATTTATGTAAACATCCTGTCAGGTAAACTAGGCCATGAAAATACAATATCGAAGTTTCACTACTGCTCTCTAATTAGAGTATCTTAGTGGCACATAGATATGGGAGAATTATCCTGTCATAATGCAAGAGCACATAACTTAAAATAAGAGAAAATAATTTCATCTTCTTGCACTCAAAACTTATAATGCTCACACTCAAAACATGCGCTCTCTCTCAAATATTTTCTCTTCTCTCTCAAATCTTTGTTTCTTCTCTCAGATTTAATGCTTCTTGCACAGATATTTTCTCCTCTCACTTGCCTCCGTCTCTTCGCGCACAAACCGCGCTCTGTTCAGTCTCAGATACGCTCGCAAACCCATAGGCTCTGCTTGCTGATTTGTTTTGCTCTCTCTCAGACTGCAGTTGGATCGTTGCCTAGCAACCTTTCCAGCCAATAGAACGACAGCCTCGGAAAGGGTGCGCTTGTTTAACCCTACTGAGTGTGCCTGTGCTACTACGCCACTTATAAGAGCGTCAGCTGAAACTGCTATTTACGGTAGTTTTGTGGCTGATTGTTGTTTAGAGATAGAAAACCTGGTTTCATTTCTTAGTTTTCCCCTGGATTTTGTAGCGTTTGTGGACGCTACGTCGCTACTTGATCAAAACAATAACGTTGCTACAGGAAAGTTACTTGATAAATAAAGCAGCGACGCTACGGCCAAGCTACTGGAAAATGTAGTTAAACTAATACTGTAGCTTCGCTACATGTAGCGGCGCTACTGCCCATCACTGCTAATATGATATGTCATTATTTTCTGGGATATGAACAATAATTTAACATAATTAACTGTTGCACAAAATATCCTATAGGTGGCGCCAAAGCAGCTAATTAGTTTAAAAAAGTGTGCCTGCCAGCCATGGAGAATCATTGGGGCTGTATACATTCATTCTTTAGATAGCTCATTAGTAAGCATTCGAAATTCTGCATTTATGCATAAGAATATTCATTAATGGGTTAATTTACTTTAGGTTGGAGAAAAGACATTTATTTTATTTCATTTTATTTTAATGAAAGCCTGTTTAAGATATTACCTGTCATCCAAAATGTTATAATTTGTTAATAATTTAGAAGGTCCATTTATTTCTCTCTTTTAAATCAAAGGTAAAGAACTAAGCATGTGGTGTCAACAAATCGCCACAAGAGGGAATATTAAACATAAGGATTACTCTGTGTGCTAACAGCAAATTAATGCTGTATCAGCTGTTGAAGAAGGGCAATCATGGTTGCTGTCATGTCTGTTTCTTAACAGTGTACAACAATAAAAGAATATGATTAACTGATTAGTTCTCAAAGAGGATTTGAATCACACATCTTGGCCACTACCAGCGATCAATTAAAGAGCATGATCTAGAGAAATGTATTCATGCATATGTCTCTAGTAGAAATGATGACTGCAACAGTGTCTTCATGAGTTTGTATGAAGACACAAGCAGAGGACATCAGGGGTCCGTTTCACAAAGCAGGTTTACCAGAAGCTCTAAGTTGTCTAAACCTGAAAACAGGGAAACTCTGACTTTTTTGGTTCACGAAGAGAGTAACATTCTCCCCAGAGCTAAATTGGTCAGTAGCAGGTTTTCTGCAGTAAACCCAGAGTGTCCCCCTGTATCTGCTCTACTTATAGCCAATCAAATTGTTTTATTATATTACTTTATACCATTTATAACTGTCATTTATTGGGATGATAACATCCAAGGCTTTGCCATATTTACAGGAGAAGTGAAGTTAGACACTATTCTGTCCCTCATTATAAGTGAAATACAATTCTTGCTTAAGGTTAATTTTTGGTAAAAACTTGTTCTATTATTCTTCCCCAGAGGTCACTTTTGTCATTTGTATGATGTTTTTCTTGTGTGTGAAGTTTGTGTAAAACGCTGCCCTCTGGTGGCCAACGGTAGTAATCAGAAACTAAACGACCTGCAGTTTTTTCTATAATCCAGCTCTGGAGGTGTAACGTGTTCATCCACCTCTCTACTCATTTCTTCGTTTGGACTCTTGGCAGATCATTAATCTTTTCACAAATTAACATGGTCTTCAGTAAAGACAGAGAAAAGGAATCTTGTCTCTTCATTGCTGGAACCATATGTGTTTAGCTCACTGTCTAAGTTACGTTAGATACACTAACTGAGGGCAGAAGAGTGAAAAGATTGGTTTACACGCCAAGGTCAAATTCTAGACAGCAGAATGTCACACGCTGGAGCTATGTCACAGCTCGAGGTGAGGTCAG